TTATACAGTAACTAGCAAGTAAATCGTACAAAACAACGATGGAAACAGTGCGAATTTCTGCTAGAACAAGGTATTCTTTTCGTTCTCTCAGCGATAAATTTGTATTCTAGAGTTATGACAAAATAAATTATTTTGGTGTTACAACTGAAATTACACAAAAATTGTTTCTGTATCAAACGTTCAACCGTTTTTCAAAAATATTGTTCTCATAATTTCATGAAATCTAACCTTTCACATTGATGTTTTCATCCTTTTTCTCCACTATGATTCTCTGCATGTGACGAATATTTCAGCTAAGCATCTTTTGCTGTTTTGAAGGAAAAGAAAAGTGTACGTCAAATCTGTTCAAGGATCTAGAAAGAGCATAAGTCAATGAATCCAGTTAAGCCAAACACAGTATACATTATTCGATATTTCGATATGCTTTTATAAATATTATTGTCTGATCTCGAAGAAATGACTTCGAAGAGTAAAAATGATTGAACTTAACATTTGTCCTGAGAGAATTAGGGCTTACTGCTCTCTACATCACTCTTTCCTCGTCTCGTTCTTTTTTCTTCTTACTAGTGAAAATGTATGCTGCGGCTTATAAGAGTAGAGATGAGATGATTATCGACAGTGCCGAATATCTTTCGATATACGCGATAGTGATATGTATTTTTTCGTTCTGTTCATCGCACGCCTAGTGACGTGACATAAATGATAGATATACGATAGTGACTTTTGTTTTCTTTCATTTCTCTCGTGTATATACGATAGAAAAAATGGACTGAGTAAATGACTTTCCTCAAAGTTACTTATTTTCTGTAGCAGATAGATTTGTATGCTGAAATTGTGATGTGACTATATTCAACCTAACGACAGTAAAGAGAAAGTGAAATAAGTCTTGGAAATACTTTAATGAAGTTAAAAAACGCAGGTGTTATCGTGTTTTTTATTTTGAAATTATTTCCCATTAATCGTAATAATATACGCTGTAGATCATCGAACTCCATATAAGCTTTGTATACTATCGTAAGATAGATCCTAACTAGCTTTTACATTCGGATCCGGATAAATATGTTTTTTGTGATTTCTATGATCAATTATTTGTTATATAGTAATTTATAGATAGTAGATAATTCAATATTAGTGCCGATTAACTTGAGGAAACAAGAAGGATGATTTCCGCTTTTATTTACTTCTTATCTGTGAACTTTATTTATTACAATCGATCACATGTGGAGGATTAGGCTGTACTACAGCATTCACAGTTCCAGAAAGGCTAGTAATGCTAGAGTCTATTGTTTGTTGGATAAAAGAGGAACGATGCTCCTCGACCTGTCTGCATCAAAGGCCGAGGCGGCCTACGATGCTCCTCGAATGAATCAAAACATATTGTTTACTCTTCCGGAAATAAACATACCGGCTTGTAATAGTAAAACAGAGAAACTTCCCAAATAGGTAAAAATAACGGCGCCTACTGCGACTTATGAAATCAGTACGTGTTTATGTATCCGAAAAGAGTAATATATAGCTTTTATTTCAGAAAAGCTATATATTACTCTTTTCGGATACATAAACACCATAAAAAAGACACAATTTTAACATTGATCAAAAATTAACTTGATTGAAATAAATTTGGATATCTAAAAACATGCACTGGTCTTGTGCTAATAAGTCTGTGTACTAGTTTTTGTTCCACATCTTGTGGACGAATTAACATAAGCAAATCTTTATTAAATTCACAGTTCCAAGCATTATTGACAATTTTCTGATGCTTAGTACTATTATTATCTAAATATATAATTCGAAACAAATCGTGAATAGTAATATTGTTTATTAAGAAATAAAATGCTTGTTTATCTTGGTTCACGGTGATTATTGCCGCTATGAAACTCAAATACAATTGTGCAGAATCCATTTGTTTGATAACGAGAGAGCTTTTCAAGGTTTTCTGAAAAACCTTCAGGATCTTTAAAAGACCCTTTATTGTAAAAACTGTTATTTATAGATTTTCATACCTCGAGAATTCGCTGCTGATCTTAGAAACATTAACGCTCAACGGTTGCTAAAATATAAGGCGAACTGCCTGATGTAAACATTATTCGAGCACAAACAGGTAAAATCGTGTTTTTGTGAACAACTCATTTAATTATGTTTGCTAAAACATGGCGGACGAACAATCAACAACATATTTTCGCCTAGTGTATAAAAGTATTCTACAACACATACTCAGCGTGGTGCACGTACAAAGTTAATTGAATTGAACTGTATCGCCACACTATATATTTCTTCTTAAATCAACCACCTTTAATCTCTGTTAGTGCAGAAAACAAACAAATAAATCTGAGAAAAAGTTGAAAATATAATTAAAAACACTGTTACAGCACTAACGTGTAAGGTAAGTCGAAAAGAAATAGTTGTGTTATCATCACAGAAACAACAAGAAACGTGAGAGATAGGTTACGTTGATTACTATTCGTTTTAGAAACGAACGAAAGCGAATTTTATAAAAAAAAAATGTTAACAAGAAGAGATGAGAATCTACGATTTTCACTGACCGACATCATTTCAAAAACCGATTCAGCATTATCTTTACGTTTTCGTAAAACAGAAAGAAAGAATGTAGTTTTCGTCTAGTATAAGAGCAAAGTTTTCAGCATTAACTGGTTGAAGTTCAAGTATAGCCAACGTTTCATTAATCCACGAATTAGGTGGTGTCGCTAAAACGAGAAAAAAATACAATATTTTTCGAAACTCATATAAGATGCCAACTTACGAACAAAAGATCGTTTGGTTTCTAATTCTTTGACAATTTTTGCGTTATTTTCAATCAGTGATTTATGTTTCTTTTTTACAACAAAATTTATAGTCTTTCTCCGCTTCGGACTTGTCTATTACGAAGCAAAAGATCTGAAATATAAAGCAGATAAAATGCTTTGACATTGTGCGATTATGTTGATTTGTGTTCAGACGGCACTATAACATCACCATTCATCACACAGTTCACACTGTTAACTCGATTTATTTTCTAATTTATAAAAAAAACGATTTCGAAAATCGAAAATGATTTTAGAGCTTTTATGAAATAGTTCGCAAAATCGTCTTGATTCTTCAAGTAATAGAAAACGTGTTCTGGTTTCCTCTAAAAGTGAAGAATCGACTGATTTTACAGAAAGTCAAACTGATTTTTAAAAAACAATGGGTTAAATTACTATTGAACCATAACGAATATAAACATTTCAGTGTTCCCAAATACCATGCGTTGTTTCAATTACATAACCGTCAACGATGTCAAAATATTTTAAGGTGGCAAATGGACGACGGCCAAAAACACCTCTGACGCTTTACGATATTATTATCACGAAATTTTATCAGCACAATCGCTAGTTGATTACGTATTCTTAGCCAGCCGTCAAGCTCATCTCTATTATATGGATATACAAGTGCACAGCTAGACGAATACTTTTTCGGATCTATTCCTTTCAACATTTTTCCTAATAACAATAACAAAAGTAATGCTTTAATTTTTTTGAAGAATGGAGGAGTTTTTACTTGATTGCTCAAATCCCACAGCCATATTCACCATTAAGTATTTATGATTTTGTACCTTACAACTTGTCGGTTTGTCGTCGGTTGATATAAAAGTATAAGTGCGAACCTAACTTCAGAAATTAGGGCAACTCCACGATAAAGAAGCTCAGAAGACAACAAGAAGTCAAAGTAAGCAGCTGTTTTTAAACAGAATGTAAAAACTATACTTCAACTTAAGGATTCATTAGTTTAATGGCATTTTGTCAACCATATGCCCTAATAAACTGACCATTCTTTTTCGATGTATTTTGATATGTGCTGGTCAGCATGTACACACTAGCATCTTTTCATAGGAAAAACGGGTTCTTAACGGTATTTCATTAACGACGAAATATAATGGCCAAACTGATAGATTATTATTTTGATCGTATACTTTAATTCTATTACAATCAAATTGAAGTGTTATTATAGTAATGTTTGGATTCGTTGCTCTTATATTATTCGTTTTGAGTATTATTTTGATACTGTTATATCTGATGGGTCATTATCAAACGTTGTTTATGTAACAGCTTCATAAAACTCATAACGTCTAAATAAAAGTTACAGTTGTTGTTTAATACTTAAAACTTCAAATTTAATTGGATCATCACCGATATAGCCGGCTTGATATTCACAGATATCGTCTGTACACCGATGAAGTGAATTAGATAACTGATTACATTTTCGAAACATGATTAATTTTTTCTATTTCTATGGGACATTTGTTGTGTATTGGTTTTTCACTCTATAAATTGACTTAACGTTTAAACCTCGTCTGATTAATGAGACTGTAAACAAATAGCGTTATCCAGCAGAGACCAAATGACTAGGGAAGGGGAATCAAACGCGACATTCCATACATAGATTGAATCTATGCGGCAATACATACACGAACAATAACAGATATTGATAAATTGACTAGATATTGATAAATTGACAGATATTGATAAATTGACTCGCACACAGCACACAGGTTAGTATGATACTGTCACTCATTGCTCCGTCCCCTTCGTTGTTCCCTACTGCTATGCATAGTTCTCGAAAAAACCTACAGTATGGTTCAGCCCTGTTCTTTTTATTACATATAGTACCTTTATTCTTGTACACTGCTATTATTTCTGTCTTCTTGTTCTGCTTCTTTATGAAACTTGACCTTCTTCTGCTGTCTGTTCAAACAGAGAACTGTAGTCGTCTATGGAAAGTTTTTTATTCTCTTTATACGAAGAAATTCTGTTTTATTTCTTCTATTCAGAAAACATATGATTGCTCTCTCTCTATTACTACTATTGTTGTTTTTTTTCTTCTCTTTGTTTGCTATTTTCCGTTTTCTTCTAGTCCGCCCATTGACTATTTTTCTCTGAATTCTTCCCTCTTCTTCTCGCTAGCATACTTCATAGAGTTACAGGGGTTTATACAGTACATCAATCACGTCAGTGTAGAAGATCATGGCTAGATTAAGTAAAAAAACAGCTGGTGTTAGTGTGACAGATCCGATGGAAATACTTGTTCTGAATATGAGGAGTATAACGGCAAAATCCGACAAAGATCCGAAAAGTGCTATGACGAAGTTTGATCTTCTATCTGCAATGTGTAATGAGTCAAAACCTTCTTTCATCGCTGTAACAGAAACGTGGCTTGACTCAACTATTCCAAATGATGATATTGCTATAACTGGTTATAAATTAGAACGATTAGACAGAGATAGAGAGGGCGGCGGAAGTTTACTCTATTACCAAGAACACTTGATAGTAAGGCGTCTCTCGATTATGGAAGATAAAGCTTATGAAATTATGTTTTTTGAGACAATCCTACCAAAAGTAGGAAGAGTCTTACTGTCTGTCAATTATCGCACGCCTAGTATGAATAATGAACAGATTGATTCGTATATTCACTTTCTAAGTGAAACAATTTATAACATTTTGCAATCAAACAGTTTTGATGCTATTCTTTTAGTAGGCGATTTTAATGCACACTGTGAGGAATGGTGCAATACACATCCTTCCACAGTAGCCGGGAAAAAATTTTTTGATTTTTGCGAAGCGTTAAGCCTTAAGCAATTAGTACGTGAGCCAACAAGAGTAAGTCATAATGGTCAATGTAAGACAGCACTTGATCTCGTTTTTACCAGTTCTAAAAATATAATCAAGAGTGTAAAGGTAGACGATCGTTTATGCGTCAGTTGTGATCATAAAATTGTAAGAATCAAGTTAGCACTAAACATAAATCGTTCACCACCGATCACACGAAAAATTTATAACTATTCAGCCACGGACTGGGACTTTTTTCGCTATAAACTCGTTCAGTTACTAAACATAACTGCTGTTCTATTTTTTAATTCAACCAGTATCAACGAGAAAGTTAACATTTTGGAGTCGTGCATATTACAAGCAACTGAAACATGTATTCCTTCAAAAATAGTCCGCTTATTTCAGAATGATCAGCCATGGTTTACACAAAATTTGCGCTTTTTGTACAGAAAGAAAAAACGCTTATTCAAAAAATATAAAGACAATTTTTCTCTCTCTACTCAAGAAAAATATAAAAGAGCGTGTAGTACATTTGAAACGCAATGTGTAAAAGAAAAAGGAAAATATTTAGAACGTATACGTACCACAAATGCATCGAATAAATCATGGTGGAAGCTAGTAAAAACA